AGAGAAGTGTTTCATTCTACTGTATGTGGGGTCAGTTTGAGTGGGAGCCAACACAACAGCACCTAACTGGAGACACCCAAAAGAACATGACTGCATGGCACATGTTCTAACTACAGTTAAGAGATGCATGGTTGAATGATTGCTTTGAGAGATGGCAAGGCCTCTCCTGCGGTTGAATGAATGAATGCTTGGCTTCAGCTTTGTGTTCCTGGGGCGGAACATTGCCTCAGCAGAATGATTGCTAACCTGTCTCCCTGGAATGACGTTTTGCCTAAAGAATAGTATACCTTAGAAACCATTCTTTAGAATCATGTACCTTAATAATCATATTATGTTTTAGAATGACGTATCTTAGTGATTATTTACTAATCCTGCAAGAGATGTTAACCTAATTAATTAACCAATACATTTGGACATGGGAAAATGCCTTTGAGTATGGGAAAGAGTAAAACTTTAACTTTTAATTAATACTTGATTGTTATAAGGAAATATGTGACTGTATTGTAAAAGAATATTTGATTGTATACTTGATTGAATACTTGATTGTTTTAAAGAAATATCAAAGAATAATGATGTAATCTTATGCTTATGTATAAGTAAAGCAGAGTGGACACATCAGGGGTCGCTCTCGCAGAATATGCAGGGCGTCTGCCTGGCCCCCACTCTTTAAATAATAAAAAAGAAAACTATTAATCCTTTTGTGTCGCTTCATTTCAAAATCTGTGCAGTTTTGCCGGACGTGGCAATTGGTGCCCGAACAGGGACCTGGAGTGGAGCGGTAGCAGGCCTCAAGAGGACACCCCACTTGAAGGAAAGTGGAGCTCCATAACAGAAAAAAAGGTGAGTGTGGATGAATTAAATAAATCTTCTTTAAGCCAGGCTGACATGGGGAACTCAGCACCTCATGAGAGAGATTGTTATATTTCTGTTCTTAAAACGTTAGCTCAAGCTAGAGGTTTTTCAGTGTCTAAAAAAGAGCTAGAGGAATTTTTACAGTGTGTGGATCACTGTTGTCCTAGGTTTTCTCAGGAAGGAACCATTGATTTAGCAGCTTGGGAGACTGTCGGTCAACAAATAAATGAGCGTTTGAAGGAACATGGGCTGGAGGATTTTCCCGAGCGTGTTTTCTATTTGGAGTATCTTAAAACTGTGTTTAGAATTAGATAAGGGAATAAGTATGGGTATAGATCCTAAAGTAGGGAAGGAGAAAAAGGTAGATACAGATTCAAAATTAAAAGAGTTAAAATTACAAGAAGACATAGTTAAACAGAAGTTAGAAACTGAACCCTCAGAAGTTAAGGAAGAGAAGTTATATCCTTCCTTCAGTCCATTTTTAAGTCAGGTAAAACCTTCTTTAAATCCATTTTTAAATCAGACTGTTTCAACTGCAACCATGCCTGCTAGTCCTTGCTCTCCTTCACCTTTTAACCTTTTCCCTCCCTCAGGGAAGCAAGTTAACTGTTTATCATCCACTGTGCCTCCTTTATCACCTATACAAGCTATGGTGCAAAAGGCAAGGGCCATGGATGAGGACATTCGTTTAGAATTAAAACATGTTTTTCCCTTAACAGAATACATAGATCAGCAGACTAATCAACCGATGAGAGGACATAAAGCATTTTCTTTTGAAACTCTTAAAGATTTGAAACAAGCTGCTACCACCTATGGGCCAATGGCACCATTTGTAAAAACTTTAATAGAAACTATTACTCAAGAAGTTCTGTGTCCTTATGATTTGTATATGCTGGCTAAAACTGCATTAGAAGGAGGAGATTATTTGATGTGGAAAATGTATTTTCATGATTTTTGTACAGAACAAAGTATGAAAAATCAGCAACATAATGTTCCTGTTAGTTTTGAAATGCTATCTGGTACTGGATAGTTTTTAGAGGTCTCAACTCAATTAACCTATCCCTTACAAGCATATCAGCAGATACAGGCCGCAGCCTCTCAGGCACGGTCTAAGTTACTGGCAAAAGGAGCTGATAATTCTAGTTTTACTAAAATTATACAAGGGCCTACAGAACACTTTGAACAATTTGTGGATAGGGTAAGTGTAGCAGTGTCTCGAAGTGTTAGTGACAACACAGCCACTAATATTTTAATTAAGCAATTGACTTGTGACAATACCAACAAAGATTGTAAACAGGCTATTAGGGCTGCCAAGGAAGCAAAAAAGGGCAGAGGCTTATGCTGTTTTACTTGTTTTTCAGGATTTCTCATGTCAACCACTTAATTTTGTGAATGACAGCCAGTATGTGGTTCATTTACTTACTCGAATTGAAACTGGCAAGATCAAACATATATCTAATGGAGAATTACTAACTCTTTACTTTACAAAAGGCAGTAAAACATGTTATCCATCATTTATTACATTGTTTTACCTTTTGTGGATCTCCTAAACAGTTAAAAACAGACAATGCTCCGGCTTATACAAGTAAGTCTTTTTTACATTTTTGCTCCTTTTATTCTATCAGCCTTTCTACTGGCATTCCTTACAACCCTCAAGGCCAAAGCATAGTAGAGAGAAAACATCAAACTATAAAACTTTATTTAGAAAAACAAAAAGGGGGAGTAACAGGGGAATATTGGAACAGCCGTATGAAAAGATCAAACAATGTCTTATATACTTTAAATTTTTTGAACTGTGATACTGATGGACAGTCTGCTGCTAATAGATATTTTTTAAAAGTGAAACAAGACACCACCTCAGTCAGAGTTCAGTGGAAGGATGTACTGACAGGTCAGTGGAAGGGACCAGATTCATTATTAACGTGGGAACAAGGGTATGCTTGTATCTTTCCAGAAAACAATGACAAACCCATATGGGTACCGGAGAGACTTGTCCAACATGATGGATCACATCTAACGCCAACTTCAGTGGCTGTCACTACAGAATCACTGGAGGAGGCAACGACTACTGAGTCATCAGACCAGAGAAGCGACGTTGCCGACTTGGAAGCAGATTAAAGTCTTATCTCATAAGGCTGCAAGTATGGTTCAAGGTTTCAACCAACCTCAGACCCAGAAATGATATTTTTAGCTATGGTAACATTAATGTCAATTCAAATTGCTCCTGTAGCAACTGAAACTGATTGGGCATATTTGTTTCACCCACCTTAGGTGAGACCTGCTACATATTTTGATCCTGATATTCCTGTTTTTATTAATGACACCCAGTGGCTTGGAGGAAAGGGTGGAGAATCCATAGGAAAATTACTAAAAGGAGAAAGTTTAGTGAATTATACAGGTCTTACTACAAAAATACCAATTTGTTTTACTCAAAATAATTATAGTCCCTTACTGTGCCTGAAGCTATTACCAAAAATGCGATGGGCATATGGAAGCAACCTAACACACGTTTATTGGGGGATATCAAAATATACAACTTATGGGAGTATTTTCAGAAATTATACTATAGCTCATCTCATACCATACTGTCCTAACATATCCCAAGATTGGAAGGCATTTCCACCTTGGTTCAAATGTCACTTGCCTCTCCCAAAAAAGGTTGTGGTGTCCTCCTACAATGCAGAGCATGACTCCCCACGCTATCTTATGGACTGGGGGGACTCAAATAATGACTCATTGTTCACTAGCTTCCCTGGAGGTTTTCTGGAAAACATCTTACAGACACCAGAAGGACCTGTACAATCAGAATTATGGAGACTGCTGCAATCGGAGCTGTGAATCATACTGTATTCATCAGGAGACCAGAAGGAGGGACGTTTGTCCGAGGAAGTCACTCTAACATACAGGCATGTGTTCAACCCCCGAACACTCTCATGCTGGTACAAAAATATACTGATTGTATTGTAAATGCTACTATAAGTTGTTTAAATGTTTCTGAAACTAATGATACTTTGGGAAATTACTACTGGAATCTGACCTGTAATAACTGTTTGTTAACTCAGTGTTTAACTTCAACTGATCAGTATGTATTAATAGTAACACAACCATACTATATAACTTTACCAGTGAATATCTCAAACGGATGGTTTCATTCAGCAGGAGAACATTCACTGTACTTAGCACATCAAGGGCTTAGTAGATCTAAGCAGCAACAACAACAACAACAAAGTGGCTTTATTAATTTACAAGATGCCCTAGTGGTGCACTTGTTGTTGTTGTTGTCATGTGCCGTCAAGTCAGACCCGACTCATAGCGACCCCTCCTTGGGTTTCTGAGGCAGTATCACAACGGAAGTAGATTGCCCCATCTTCCTTCCGAGGAGTGGCCAGTGGGTTTGAACCGCCAGCCTTCTGGTTAGTAGTCAAGTGCCTTAGGCATTACGCTACCAGAGCTCCTAGTGGTGCACTAGTTAAATTAAAATGTCAGGGTTCAAACCCACCAGCCGCCCTGTGGGAGAAAGATGGGACAGTATGTTTCCGTAAACATTTACAGTCTTAGAAACACTACGGGACAGTTCCACTTTGTCCTACAGGGTTGCTATAAGTCAGAACAGACTTGATGGCAACAAGTTTGGTTTTATTATTAATTTACCAGTTCTTGATTGATATCTGTCAGAACAGACTGTGAGTTCAGTTTATGAGTATTTGTGATAAGTGGCCCATATGTAGAAAAATAATAATAATAATTTAAAATAAAACAAACCAAATCCATAGCCATCTAATCGATTCTGACTCATAGTGACCCCCACTGGGTTTCTGAAGCAGTAAATCTTTATGGAAGTAGATTGCCCAGTCTTGCTTCTGTGGAGTGGCTGGTGGGTTTGAACCACCACCTTCTGGTTAGCAGTCAGATGCCTTAGTCACTATGCTACCAGACCTCCTTAGAAAAATAATATAGGTCAATAAAAATCAAATGAAAAAAATATAAAAACACTACTAATTATACAATAAGGCCTTTCCTAGGCACACCAGCCCAGTTCCCTCTTGCCTCTAAACTTCTGTACAGAGCCTTTCTACGGACCCCAGTTAAAGAGTACAACATTAATGAAGTTAATAGTTTATGCTTAAATTAAAAACCAACTTACCTACCCCCCACTGAGCAATACTTTGCATCTTGGGCTTAGTGTAGAAGTACTTTTCCTAAAAAGGTGAAAAGAAAATGAATGATTAGGAATTCCTGACTGGTAAAGTAACAAAATAAATATACTTTTCTTTACTGAATAAATTATCATGCCATTAACACTTCCTTAACAAAGGAATATACTTTGTTTTTTTTGGTCTTTAAAAAATTTTCGTTTCCAGCAAACTGCTCAGCAGAGTGGCTTACCATTATCATATGAAGCAAAGATTCCAAGTAAAGTGTTTCAACAACCTAGTCTTCACTGTCTTGTTAAAAGTGAAGAATATGGACTAAAAATCTTTCCTATTGATAATTAAAGTGGCAGTCCTTTCCCTATGTGATGAAATATGTCATTCATATTAAGTCTTATTTTCTGATTTGCTAAAAAGAGTATTACTTTGGAGACTATGTCTGAAAACTGCCCATTTAAAGTAGGGATGACTAGCATTAAAGAGACAAAGGAGCCTATATCCAAGTTTGGAGAGACACTTAAACTAATTCCGAAGCAAAGGAAGTGCCAACATTCTCTTCACAGGGTTTGTACAAGAACATCAAATGATTCAAAAACAAGGGACAAGCTAACCTGGAGGGAGCGAGTAGGTGGACCTGTGGGCTCCGGACCATGGTTGCAGAAGACAACAACCTCAACTGGCGTAAGATGCTACACAAAAACATTGTTCCACATCCTACTTTAGTGAGTAGCAACTGGGATCTTAAAAGCTTGCAAGTGGCAACAATGGGTCTCTCCTTGTCCAGAGCAAAGAAGAATGAAGAAAGCCAAAGATGCATGGAAACCATTAGTCCAAGGGACTAGTACACCATACGATCCTCAGTCTATATGACCGTGAGACCAGAAGAACTAGATGGTGCCCGGTTAACCCTGTCAGCCACTCAAGAGTGGGGTCTATGTAGGAGATGCTGAATAGAGTAGGAGAACAATGTGGAACAAAACTCAAAATCATAAAAAAAATAAAAGGGACCAGGTTTGCTGGTCTGATAGGGCCTGGTGAGACCCCTAAGACTATGGCCCCTAGCCATGCTTCAGGTCTGGAATTGAACTCACTTCTGTGGCTTCCAGCCAAACAACAGACAGGCATATGGGGTGAACATTTACATAAGGGAGATACATTCCTTGGAGTGATCAATCCTGGGAGAACAGAAGGGCAGTGTTTGTACAGGGGGGCAGTGGGGAAGGGGGCAGGAGTGTATGGGAGAGGACACAGGGAAGTGGTAACTATGGGAAGGAAGTGGGAAGACAACTGTTACACTGTGGGGAATTGCAGTCAATCTCATGAGACAAAATGTGTATGAACTGCTGTATGGAAAATGAATTTGCTCTGTAAACTTTCACCCAAATGACAATTAAAAATAAAAAAACAAGGGACAAGCTAGAAGGGACACACCTTCAAGAAGTAAAGACTTGAAAAGAGATAGGTATCAGAAGTATTTGTTACTTGAAAAAAAGATTTGTTTTATTGAATCAACAACAAATTCAATAAATTATATATGAAGAACAAGTTACCCTTATACCTTTAAATAGCTTTTAATAAAAATCTGTATTTGGAAAGCTGACCTAAAGAACATAAAGAAAACTTAATACTACTTCATTAAAATCCATTATTGGTCATTCTTGCCCATTTAAAAAAAAAAAAAACACCACAAATCATTGTCTAGAGTGACTGCCCACTTCTCTTGGTAGCTTAATTGACTATGAAGGAAAATTAGAGGCTAGAAACTTGTTGATCTGACAAATGAGCTAGGAATTAGAAATATTTCTATTCATGAAGAGTTCATTCTATGGGAAAACAAAATGATGAGAATCACAAGAAAGCTTTTTTATTTAGACAATGTGCAAATAAACACATTGAGAACTATTCTATGGTCTAGAGGAAAGGTATTTTGGTGCACTGAGTATTTTGCACAGAAGTTGGAAAAAAAAAACCACCTTAAGTTGAGAGGTAAATGGACAAAGTACGTTTGCTACCAGACAAAAAAAAAAAAAAAAAGGCTCGAAATAACAGCAGTCACCCTTATATAAAAATACTTGAACAAATTTATCTAAATACCCACCAGATGCCAAAAGATGGTTTAAAAATCTTCTGGAGGTTGTGCGTATTTTTACCATAAAAAATAAAAACAAAACCCTTCTAGAACAAGAAGATAAAAGTTTAAGTACTTTACAACAGGTTAAAAAAAAAGTCTTTAGCTATTTCATAATACAGTAACAATATAGTTATGGTACTTAAGTACTTAATGACCTAATTTACATTGCTGATAGAGTCCATGTTTACTAGTCTCTTTCTAAACCGGTGAACAAAAGGTCACAGACAATAGATATTAAAAATTTAATACAAGTTCTAAATAAAAATTTAATTTGAAAATTGAATTACTCAAGCAAAGCAAATGAAGACTGTGTCGCATTTACATATTATTTATTACTAATTTGTCATCAATTTTCAAAGTCAAGATAAAGTACAGAAAACATATGTATCCTGGCCTACAAAAGCATCCTATAGATAGATTGTAAACATCAATTTTAGATGTTAAAAATCTCAGAAATACTCTCATTAACAAATGACAAATGTGTGATCTCAAACGTGACCAGTGACAGAAGCCAATCTCTGGATGTAGTTCTTTGGCCATTAAGGGAAAATAGCTCAGTACTCAAATATGCAATTCCACCCTCTTTTACTATTTACCTTCCTACTATTGCATTCAAAATGCTCTATAATCATACCTGCTTAAAACAATACTAACAGTAGAATCTTTGAGGGGAAGAAAAACTTCCCGATTCTGATCTAAATGTTTGTATGGTATCCTTGTCCTACGACTAGAGTTCCAGCTCCACATCCTCTCCTGGTAGATAATAACCTTTTCACAGCCACAACCAACAAGATAGTTACCACCCCTCCTCTCTCCAGGCAAGGTTTCACATGCTGCCTGATGAGAAGGAAATTCTCTCTGCAACTATGGCAACAGCCGCCACCAAGAAGCAAGGGTTCTCCCCCACCTCCAGAGATGGTACTGTAGATTAACATTTGTCAGTTGGGCATTTTTAAGTTGGACTATTTTATCATGCCTTTTTCTAAAAACATGCAGCCAAGAGACTTCTCACTATGGGTTCTAAACAGAAACTCACTGACTCCATTTTCAGAACAGCTGTACCTGACACCAAGTTGTATATGGCTCGCAAAAGTGCCGGAGTTGTGAGATGTTTTCTTCAAGTAGGGTCCTTGGCTCTTCCACATACTTAGATTGACCTTCCGGAACTGAGTAGAGTGAAAGCTACATACATTAAAAAATTAAAAAAATAAAAAATGTACACAGTTATAACAATAAACTGTCTCTCAAATTTATAGGCATAAGCTTTCTAATAATTCATGAATTACATGATCCTTAGGGTTGTTGTTGTTAGGTGCCACTGAGTCGATTTCCACTCACAGTGACCTTCTGTTCAACAGAATAAAACACTGCCCAGTCCTGTGCCATCCTTACAATCGCTGCCATGCTGCAGCCCATTGCCACAGTCCCTAGAGTTACATGTACTCTAAACTTTACTTTAGATAATCTTGTCACCTGACTTATCTCCTTGCTGTAGACCAATAGAATCAATAAGGGTGAGTAAGGCCAAAGCAGCTCTCCCTTATCCATTTTTATACTGGTATTTGGTATTCTACCTTAGATTTAGTTTAGAAAAAGGATTTTATCACTCGAAAGTGTAGGTGGAAAGGTTTGGTTTAAAAAATAAATAAATAAAAGCTTGACCATAACTGAAGGAATATGTTATATCAAATGATCAGTCTGGTGCTAATCAAAGCAGGGTAAGTTTGTTCTCCACGCAAAGAAGAAAACTTCTCACAGCCAAATATTGGCTGTCTTCTTCACCCTAAAAAATGCCACTATCCCAAGGCCTGAGAAGAAGAGAGTAAAGGGCAAGAAATAAGCTAATTAGCTTTACATAAACATAACTAACCTTGCCCATGAATGATGGTAGACCTTTTTTCAGGGGGGGGATTTCCTAACTGGATGAAAGTCTCATTGTTAATAACTGAAGGTGCTAATATTTAGGATCTGGTGGTGTAGTGCCTAAGGCATCTGACTGATAACCAGAAGGCTGGCAGTTCAAACCCACCAGATACTCCTCAGAAGGAAGGTCGGGCAATCTACTTCCATAGTGATACCACCTCAGAAATGCAAGGAGGGGTTGCTATGAGCTGGGTCTGACTCGACAGCAGTGAGTTTGGTTTTTTTAGTGTAAATGAGGAGCTGAATTTTAAGTACTATTTTATTTTAATTAATTCAAATTTAAATAGCCACATGTGGACAATCTACTTCCCTAGTGATACTGCCTCATAAACCCAAGGAGAGGTCGCTATGAGTTGGATCTGACTTGACGGCAGTGAGCTTGGTTTGGTTTGATATCTCTTTTGAATACGTTTTCAATTTATTTTATGCAAATACAAAGCAAGTGAGGAGGATGAGGTGAGACCATCCCTTCCCTTTGCCTTCTCGTTCTTCTAGGATTTGGCCTTTAGAAGATCACTGAGGGTATCTGGGGATCCTTCTTCCTCATACAGCATTGTTCTCAGCTACCAGCCTTCTCCCACCCATTATAGAAAATGACAAGTTAATATAAAGCTACTAAACATATAAGGGCTGAGTCTCTAATGGGTGTATCAGCTACTATGGCAGGAATCATGAGTGAATGTTAGATACAGGAGGGCCCCAGAGATTATCTAATCTAATGCCTTCATTTTATTTATTTATTTATTTCCTTCACCCAAGTTAGTTAGTATGTGTCTACCCTCTAGTTAGTAGCTTACTCCCCTCCCCATTCACACCTGGTAACCATCAGAGAATATACCTATTTTTGTGAAACCCTTTTCTTGACTTTTTATAATAGTGAGCTCATATAGCAGTTGTAGAGCTGTAGGATCCAGGTAAGGGGAGGGAGACAAGGCCCCACCGCAAGAAGCAGGAAGTAGGGCAAGAGCCGAGGAGACAGAGCCATGGGATCCAGGTTAAGGGGACAGCGGAGAGGTTTCAAACAGTTAAGGGAGACAAACTTGTCTGTCAGTTTGTCCTACTGTGGTGACTTGCATATTACTGTGAAGCTTGAGGCTGTGCCACCGTTGTTTCAAATGCCAGCACTGTTGCACATGGTCAAGTTTCAACACAGCTTACAGATGGAGACACACTTGGAAGAAGGAAGAGGCCATCCACTTCTCAAAGAACTGGCCAGGAAAAACCTTATGAATAGCAGAGAAACACTGTCTGATACATCACTAGGCAACTTTATGAATAGCCTGGAAACACTGTCCAATACAGTGCAGGAAGACAAGTCCCTTAGGTCAGAAGGCACTCAAAATACGACTGGGAAAGAGCTGCCTCCTCATAATAGAACTGACCTAATGATACAGACAAAGTAAAGCTTTTGGGACCTCCATATGCTGACGTGGCATGACTCAAATTGAGGAGAAACAGCTGCTAACATCCATTAATAATTGGAACTTGGAATGTATGAAGAATGAATCTAGGAAATTTGGAAGTTGTCAAAAATGAAACAGAATGCATAAAGATTGATATCCTAGGCATTA